AAAGCACAACTACAATGACGTGGGAAAATACCCGAACAAAGCTGAATACCATGCATGTAAGTACCCGCGAAAACTTAAGAAAACAAATATATATATATATTTGTATGTATGTATATGTGTGTGTGTGTGTGTGTGTGTGTGTATACACACACACACACACACACACACACACATATATGGTCACTCCTTGCTATAGGCAAGAAGAAAATTGTGTATGCCACTGACTCCAATATGTGCAACCTTGCATGCATATATATGGCAAAAAAAGTCAGTTGGAGGTGACCTTGAAAGCACAGGTAAACCTCCAAGCGGCCTCAACAACTCTTAAAAAGAGCGCTAATGACCAGACGACTGCAAGGAATATAAATCCTTCCATCCTCTACCATTCACTCAGAACCGATGAAGCTTCCTGGATGAGAAGCGAAAGGTCTTCAAGGAAAAACAAAGTAAGTCCAGTTGCCTTTTAGAAAAAAGCACCTTTGGGACAACGATGGATGACTGAGAATCTCCACTGGTTTTTAGAAGAAATCTTGACAGATCTGGCCCACCTGCTTACAGAAAACCAGCCAAAAACTTGCTGGACCACAAGGAACTGTTTTCAGCAGTAGTAGAGATATTTTTTTCCCAAATAGAACAAGAATTTGACTACTCCAGAGTTTGGGATGAATCAGCCTCGGATAATTCTTTTTCTCCATCAACTTCTGGCAGGCCCCTATCTCCAGTCCAGATTTTACATGGCTAAATATAGTTTTGTGCCACATAAAAATTCTCCAGCAATTAAATTACCAAGGAAGAAAGATGATAGAGTTATATATCTATTTTAGGGGATGTTTTCTCTCTCTCTCTTTCTCTCTCTCCTTTCAAAGCTTTCTGCTTCAGTTTTTTTTAACGTGAAAAATGCACCCATATGTATCCCCCCTTCCCCCTGTGCTTTAATATTGTCCTAGTATTTTTCTACGCAATTTTCCCCAGATATTCTTTAAGGCTGCTTGTTTTTAAACTACTGTAGGGATCTTTAGCGCATATTTCCCCTGAAGTGTGCATGGTAAAAAAAAAATGCAAAAAAC